TCAGAAAGTGAGAACAGGTTGAGTCTTTTGGAAAATCTTGAAAAGGAATTGAACCAACTGACAACAGAGAAGTCAAAGTTACTGGATGAGTCCTACCAACATATTGTCACACTGGAGCACCTCGCTCTCAAAGTTGATACTTGGTCCACTATTGTCCACTTGGACCTCCTGATTGAGAAGTTGAAGGAGAAAGGAGACACAGAGAAGGTCCAGAAACTGGAGGCGATGAGAAGCAGAGTGGATGAAGGAACCAGAGCAGCTCTGAGAAAATAGTTCATGAAGCCCCAAAGTAGATAAACATCATTCTAACCACAGTGATAAACAGTCTATCATTTCAAAGACTGATGAAATAACTAAATAATACTTAAAAGTAAGAACATAAAAATATGAAAAATTACAAGTTAAAAGTGCTGAAGTAAAAGCACACATTCGAAAAGTACCTTACTGATAATACATAAGTAAAGTACTTTTGGAATCAAAAGGTCTCCACTGCATGCTGTGACGCCGCCCCCTGCTGTTCAATGATCACAACAGTCTGCGAGAACAGCTCCTTCGCTCCCTAATAACACAAACTAAACAAGTCACTCTGTGTTCCCCACAAATGCATGTGTTTCTGTCACATTGTTTTAATGTTTTCATTTTATTCTGCTGCTCCTCTCATGGTGACTTGGTGTCAGTAACGTGGTTGTGGGACAGTAACATGTCACTGACATGATCCAGATACAGTCCAACATGTTGTTGTCTTTCTAATCAATTAATACAGAGGATGTTAGAGACACAGAACTCAATGACGATCCAGTGTCTTCACTGGATCATCAGCTGCTTTTTACTCTCTTCAAGCTTAAGTAAATTTCTCATTTTTGGAAAAGTTAAAGTCTAAAAGTATTTAATACCAGGTGTAATGGTGATACCGCGTGCTCGTTTTAAAACTTGTGGTGATCAGGCCTTTCAGACTGTTGCACCACGGTTGTGGAATTCTCTTCCACTGTCTCTTCGACTCCATTGATTCATTTAAAAAACAGCTGAAGACATTTTTATTTAGAAAAGCATTTGATTAATTTTCTCTTATGCTGTTTTTATAGTTTTATTATTTTACATTGCTTTATTTGCTGTTTTATTTACTGTTATATTGTTTTATTTTTCCATTTCCTGTGTTATAAAGCACTTTGTGATTTTTTTATCTGTGAAAAGCGCTATATAAATAAATTTTACTTACTTACTTAATTTAATTTCTATGTAATTAAATAATAATCATTAATAAATCTGATTAACATATTAATCTGTAAATAAATTAATATATAATAATTAATCTAATTGTCCTAACCACTGTGAGTTCATATAAGCTGACTCTAATTTTAATCAAATAATTTGAGAATTGTACATGATCAGTCCAGTGACTAGATCAAATAAACTTTTGGAAGCATCTAAGTTAATAAACAGTGAGTTTGTTCATTCATAATAATATGTTAGCATTTATTTGTATTTTAAAGCTACAGTGTGTATATTGAGTTAGTGTTATTTTTTCTCTAAACACTTACAAATAATTTAGCTTTATATTATATTATGTTAAACTAGTTGTTTGCTTTGTGTTTTGTTTTTTATTTTATGATGAAAATTTCTTTTATTTTGTGTATTGGTCACATGTTTCAGTAATATCACTTTTGGGTCCTTTAAAGGTACACACGTGGGAAGGCATTCAGCTTTAACTCTATTGCACAGCCAAACAGTTAGACGTGTGTTGGGCTTTTATCTGTAGAGACTGCGTATCAGTGCCCCACTGAATGTCCTCTCTCTCATGCACTTGGGACTTAAAAGGTGTTGGCTAAGGTGTTGGCTACTGCTCATCGTGTCCGCAGGCTTTCTTAATTACATTTCCATAACACTCCTAAACTCCATAGGTAACATTCGGTAAATCAGGTTAAACCTGTTTATCTTTTTATTTGTTCATGTTTGGAGTGGGTTTTCTTTTCTTTTCCATTCACCCACGTATATTCCTTGTTGTCGGCTGACATATTTTCCCCCCTCTGGGAATTCTTGATTAGAACATTTATTCAATATAGTATATATAGTTTCAGTTAGGTTGTTACATATAAGGATGAGCCTCTGTTCTGGTGAAAGGTCAGAAGTGCAACAGGTGAATTGAGAGAGCATTTGAGGACGACATATACACACACACA